GCTGCCCAAGCCACAAGAGCAGGCCGCCAATGCTGTGGCAGCCCCCCAGATCGCGCCTAGGGGGCGCGGCAGCGCCGCAGTCGCAGTTGCCGGCGTAGAGGCCGGGGCGGCCGCAAGCCGGCGATGAGGTCAGGCAGCTGGTTTGGACAGAGGGAGTTGTGGGTGTATTTGGGCTGCGGCGTGTCGCATTGTGTGTGGCATGTCCATCGGCTGTATCCTGTTGAAAATTTTCCATTGGTGGTTGCGCGCGCAGCCGCATTTCGGCATGCAGTGCCTGTGAACCGCCCATCCGGGTTCGGGAGCGTTTCGTGCCGGCAGCTACAGGGTTTGGTGGAACCACAGCACCTGACTTGCAGGGACGCACATATCCAGCTCTCAATCCGTGCCTCCACTTGCAGCTTTGCGCATCTCGTATGTTGGTGGGCAGCCTTGAGCCCCTGTTGCTGAGTAATGTGTGGCTGTGTGGCAATGTTGGCAAGTGGCCGGCCCACCGCTTTCTCAGCAGTCGGCTGCTTACGATGATGTGGGCCAGCTTGTAGTTGTCCATCCTGTACATGTACTAAGGGAAGAGGCAAAGCATACACGTATCTGGCAGCTGGCCGCTCTAATGGCATCAGGACGGAACACGCAGGCGGCGGTTGCTTGGCATATGCCTCGTGGGTGCAGGAACACAAACCCTGAACGGCATCGAAAAGGTCGTAAACACTGTGCTAGGGTCCGTGGCGTCGGTTGGCAGCCCACAGGCAGCCAGTCATTGTGCGGCTGGAACTGTGCGCTGGTGCCTGTTCCCCTTCCTCAGGAGGAGTCATCGTATAATTGACTCAAACATGAAAAGGAAGGCCCACTGCAAGTGGGTGCCGGAAGCCAAAGAGACAAAAGGGTGCTGAGAAAGGGTACACAGCGGAGTCAAAACAGGAAGGACCGCTTGTGCAGCGGGCAAGGGGCGCCGCGTGTTCCAGCGGCGGGGGAGGGGCGTCCGTGGCCTATGGCTGCCCCAAGGTCCCGCAAAGGAATGCACCCGGGCGTTGATCTGGGACGGGTGAAAGGTATAAGCGAGCTGTCAGGCCTGACATGGCGCCTGACCTTTGGTGAAAAGGCGGCGCGTATCCGCAAGAGGAGGGGGTGAAATGGGGCCGAGAGAAAAGGAATCCTTGAACCCCAAGAAACCAAGACAAACATGGGCCTGTGTTGTGCCCCAAATCATATGAACCACCAAGATATGTTGCGCTTAGGCACGAGCCTGCCTGCCCACCCAGACTGGGGCGCAGGCGCTGTCACGCTCCATTGAGCGCGGCCTCACGCGTCACTGCAAACGCCCTCGCATTCATCAGATACCCGGTCAGCACGATCTGTCGACGTGCCGCAACTGACGCGCTGCGCCATTGAGCTGCGTACGGCATGGCGCCCTGTTCTCAGTCGTCAATCGGCCCGCCGTTGCCACGGGCTGTGTGCAGTCATCGCTGGTCCGCTGCACGCCAGTAGTGCTCCCGCGCTTGTGGTGCCTTTGGAGGGTGTCATCACGACCGTCAACGTCACAGCGCGCTGCGCCAGTCCACGCCGTAGACCTCCAGCGCGTGCGTCACCCACTGCCACCCGACCACCCACTCCCAGCAGGTGATGAACGCGGCGTCCTTGTTGCCCACGACGAGGCCCCAGATCAGCTTCACTACACGCTCAACCTCGGACGCGCTGCAGCCGCTGCCGGCCAGCCAGAGCCGGACCTCGATCTCGCTAAGCCTGGGCTGCGCCGCGCGCGTACCGGCGGCGTCAAACAGCGCGACCGCGTCCCGCAGCCGCCGCAGGCCGCGGCGCGCCTTGTGCGGCGGGACGCGCAGGCGGGCGGCGAGCTCCGAGCAGGCGGGGTCCGAGGCGGCGGCCGCGGCGAGGCGGAGCAGCAGCTCGCCGCCGGTGGTGCCCGCGCGGCGCAGGCCGCGCAGGTCGCTCGGCTCCCAGCCCAACTCTGACAGCAGAGCGCACAACTGCAGGTGCGGGATGTGGATAGGTGGATGGTGCTTTGAGGTGACCGGAGGGGCGGAGCGCGCCAGCAGAAGGCTTTTGGGGGGAAGGGGGTTGAGGGGCCGATGAATGACGCAAGCTTGGGGTACTAGCAACGGTGGTTGCCTTCCTGCGCTGAGGCAAGATGAAGCCGCCACCTTTTGCTGGTGGCTTGTGCCTTGTACTGAAACGGGCTACCCCCCGCCTGGTCTGCGTTTGCGCTTTCAGCCGGCCCACCTCGTCACTTGTGAATTGCACCAGGTGCTTGCCCAGGGGCGACTTGGCAGAGCGGCCCGGCAGCCCCAGCGCATGGCAGCCACCGTCGCCGGCGGCAATCACACACGCCGCCTCCGCAGCCGTCGCCGCGGCGGCCGTCGCCACGGCGGCTGCGGCCGTCGCCGCCGCCGCAGAAGCGCTCAGGGGCCGCGCGCGGCCGGCGGACGCGGCGCGCGCGGCGGCCGCCGCGG